GGAGGGAGAGGAGAGACAGTCAGGAGAGAGAGGAGAGACAGCCAGGAGAGAGAGGAGAGACAGCCAGGAGAGAGCGAGGAGAGACAGAGAGGAGAGACAGCCAGGAGAGAGAGAGGAGAGACAGCCAGGGGAGAGGGCGAGGAGAGACAGCCAGGGGAGAAGGCGAGGAGAGACAGCCAGGAGAGAGAGAGGAGAGACAGAGAGAGGAGAGAGAGCGAGGAGCGACAGCCAGGAGAGAGAGGGAAGAGCGACAGCATATTGCAAGTTTCGCCCAGCACCTTGTGTCCTGTCCTGCAGTGAAGTCCTGTTCTATGGGGTCTCCATGGTTCGTAGTCACTCCCCGGGCACCGGAGAACATCTGAAATAGTTCTCTTAGTTGAAAGTAAACACATACATAAGTCTATATCGCAGTCCCGGCTGTGTACGGAGGCTCCAAATCTGTCATATCTGTACAGAGGAGAAATCCTATGACACAGAAAGTGAATGTAGAAGTTGTCCTCCTTCCTGGGACTGGATGTCATTATTATAATATGATACAATTGCTGGATCCTATAATGATAGAGACGCATCAGCAGCTGAGTGTGTAATACAGCTCGGGAACATGATGTCATCCCAAAGTTCTACGAACTGCAATTATGTGTTCCTGCAACATGAAGACTAACATTCCTGAATACGGATGAGTACCAAGAAGTCAACTTCTGATTCTGGTCTTCAAAAATTTAATTTGTGGTAATGGTGTCATAAATGTAGGAATGGACGGGTCTGAGGGACATGAATGTAGGAATGGACGGGTCTGAAGGACATGAATGTAGGAATGGACGGGTCTGAAGGACATGAATGTAGGAATGGACGGGTCTGAAGGACATGAATGTAGGAATGGACGGGTCTGAAGGACATGAATAAATAAAAACTGACTGTTGTCTCTCCAGTTCAAAATGTGGACCAACAAGAGTTCCTAAAGAAGTATCCTTTAACACTTGTTTTGCATTGGTACATGTGCCCCATGGCAGTGCCCAGCCATGTAAGATTCCCCTGCCCCTGAATGTAGGAATGGACGGGTCTGAAGGACATGAATAAATAAAAACTGACTGTTGTCTCTCCAGTTCAAAATGTGGACCAACAAGAGTTCCTAAAGAAGTATCCTTTAACACTTGTTTTGCATTGGTACATGTG